CTTGTGGTCTAGGCCCTGGTTTCATGGTAATAAAGTGGCAGTCGTTCATGGCCTTAGAACCACATCACTGCGCTGGGCTGAGCGAATTCCGGAGAAGCTGCACGTGATTGTTAACCTTACTTGCAGGAGCAAAAACTGACAGTTCATTAATGAACCCAGAGTGCTGCGACTATTTTGACGGATACACCCCCTCCCCCCGCGTTCAGAAACTGATATTTCCGGTGGGTAGGTTTTGAACATGGCGGTGACGTTTTGCTTCTAGCAATGCAGTTACATGGAGTATCGCCATGGAGCATTGGCATACTTCAAGGGTTCCTCATGACACCTGAAACAAAGATACCATGCGACAACGCCTCGCAGATCCGATAAAGTAGAATCAGGGAGCTGAAATTTAAGCTCCAGGTTACCAGGTGATAGCAACAATGATTGATTCAATTTTGAATGCTCTGCTTAGGACAGATACGAAGATGCTCACATCCCAAATCCGAAAGAATAAAATGGAGGCGATTCCCGAATTTGTCTGGCTAAATGGAATGGTATATGGATACTATAACAACTCCTACCCGCTGGTAAGGCCATTGCACGGACCACACATCGGGAACATGTTACTTGAAAGTATCGCTTACAGGTGCGCTGTTCTTGACTGGTTAAAAACTCTGCCTACTCAAAGTCATATCGTCAATGATAAGATGACGTAAATTTGTCACGTGCTCCACGGATGGATACAAACGGTAGCCTCGTTAATCGTTCGAATCGAAGTCTATCTGAAGACCTACAGCGTTTTACGAAGATTCGTCTTGCAGGGGCCAGCAGGTATATAATCGGCTCTAGCAGGTGGTAACGGACACCAGGTGTTCCTCGCGAAGGCCTGTGAGAACCGAGCTCGGGCCGGCGTCAGAAGGAAAACCAATGGTACGAATATTTATTACCAACGTGTTTTCGTAATACACCGGTAATATTCGTAGACGCAGCGATGTCCTCAGTCATGAATCAGCTGAACAGCTGCAGTTCCAATGACTGGTCCAAAATCAGCTTGATCACAGGCCGGTGATCAGCGACGAATCGCGCCGGTCGCATCGCATCTGCCATTCCTCACGGTCGAGCCCCCCCCGCCTACCCAAGGGTGGCCTCCCGGCTCCTGATATGGCTTTCCCACCGTCCTAGTGAGCGATCAACCAGCCTGTTCCTCCCGCAATTATACCAATCGATTATTTTAACGCTGACAACCAC